AGAGATCAGCACCGTGGATACCTTGCTGTGTGGCCTGGTAGTCTTGCCCTCTGTTTCATATATTTATACATATTTATTTATACACATTTTCACCAAAATAACATTATTCTTCTACAACTTTATTTTAAAGCCAACAATCTTTACCTTTCCAGTTCTGTAAGTTTTCATCATATCTAATCCCTACACTGAATTTAAATATACCAGATAGACCCAGCTGGCTTCTCCACATTAGCAGCAAATCAGCTATCACCACTCAGTTTTTACTGCAGGCTCTCTTTCCAGGGCCAGGAATGCCCCGCCTTCTTCCCTTTGCCAATCTGCACAGCTCGAGTCCTTCTCATATCTCACAAAGTTCCAGGGCTCCTCCCGTAAGCCTCACTACTCAAACAGTTCCCGAGTAGGGGAGATGTTAGAAGCAACAGCAACAGCTATAATAACCTCCACTTTGCACTTGGAAACATTTCCTTTTCATACATGTACAAAGCTTAATGCAAATTAAAATAATTTAAACTAGCAAGCCTTTCATCATCAATTTGGAAAAAGAACCTTCAATCTAGAGGCCTTACCGTCCAGACTGAGATCTAAATGAATCCTGTGACTTAATATGTAAATATTAGCTAAAATATTTAGTATAGCCCAAATGGAAACAGCAATAGTGCCAATTCTCCAGGCCACTTATTAATGTATTTCAAGTATCATTATTTCAGCTTTTTATGTTCTAAATAATCATGCATTAAAAATCCAACAAGAACACAATCTAATTCCTTCAACTCTTGGATTCAAACATATTTGCAGCATACACATTCATTGAACATTGAATAGGCACGATTATTTCTTATTTTAATGTTTCAACTTCTTTAGTTTTTGTTCACATTTGAGTTGAGAAAGAAGACAGGGATAACAAGAGTAAGAAAAATGGGGATCAGAAAAGCATGATTATGAGAGATAGCACAATGTAGTTTACAGTCTAAAAAGGATTAGGTCAGTAGAGGGCCGGATAGAAGGGGAAACAAAGGGAATGTTCAAAGTTATATTATTGTCAGTTAAGAAACCAATCCGAGAAAAGAAAATGTAAAATGGTTGAACTGACCCTCCCACCAAGATTAGCAGCAACCGTTACTGCTCACCAAGTGATCGTCCAAGTCATATAGCAAAAAGAAAAAGAAAAGCTAAAGCTTTCAGAGGTGCTTAGGAGACATTCAGAGAAGAAACATCTATGAATACATTTGTATCCCTTCATTCACTCTCCAAGTATTTGCTGAAATCGCCAATGTGGAAAGCTGAGCAATAAACATGCCTGTGTCACACAACCCTAATGTCAGGACAATTATTATCAGATTACTGTTATCTCTTTCACAGCATGGCAATAAGGTTCTTAAATCACAAAATCAAATTAAGACAAAAAGAAAAGAAAGAAAAAGTTCAATTAACTTACTCCTTTACCCAATTCAAATAATAGTCTCAATGGGCTGAAGTTTCCTAATGAGGATGAGAGTCCTTTGTGGAAAAACTAAAACATTAGAGCCACTGAAGGATATAGATATTATCACCTAATTTACCGATCTATGATGTCAAACCTAAATATCAACTGGTTGGAAAAAATCTGTACATTTAATTCATAAGACATAGGATTTTTAAAACAACTTTTTCAAATAAAAGCCAGCATTTCCCATTCATCTCCTTAATCGTCAAGTTGCCTTGTCCTTAGTCCAAATTTAAAGTCTGACTTCAGGGCTGGGGATTTAGCTCAGTGGTTCCTCTGCCTGCCTCGCAAGCACAAGGTCCCGAGTTCAATCCTCAGTAACCCCCCAAAAAAAGCCAAAAAACTAAAGTCTGACTTCAGCATTAATTACACTTACATATTGGCTCCCAAAGAACATATCTATCAAGAAAGGTGGAGGCACTGGAGACTGAAGTCTTCTGTTTAATCCCAGAATTAGTTGAGTAGGAAAAGCAAACACTTATGACCACTTATCTGAGCTGCTCAGAGGAAGTTTTGGAATCGTAGGTGTAAGAGAATACTGTATCTTTCTCCAGGAGCAGCGGTAGACAAGTTGCTGGGGCTGGAGATGTAGCTCAGTGGTGCAGCACCTGCCTGGAAGGTGTTAGGCCCCGAGTTCAATTCCTGGTACCAAAAGAAAAACAAGTTCCGAGTGTCGACTCTGAAAAATGCCTAACATGGTGACAGGAGAAAAAGTGTTGCCATTTATAAAGTCTAGAACACCAATGTGTTAAAAATCCTGTAGTGGCACATGCTTAAAAAATGAGACCTATTAATATTTTCCTTTGTTTCTTAATTCATTCTGACCAAAATGTGTTGCCAGTCTGAGATTTTTTAAAACATTCTGGAAGCTCTGCTTTCTGGGATTTTCTGCCTTAGAAGTTTGGGACACAAGTTCTTTCTAGGCTTGTCTGTAATCCCGGCTCCTCTAAGAGCACACGTGCATCCAATTGTGCAGCACACCTGTGTCAGACAAAGCCGGGCTCAAATCCCAAGTCAGTACACCACTTACTGCTTCTGTGACTGATGGGAAGTTCCTCTGCCATGCTAACCCTCAGCCTTTCCCCGTGTAAAGCAGTCAATCCAAAACTCTCTCTGTGAGCCGTGACAATGTGCAATATGTAGAGGTGCCAGCACAGCACCAGCACGCAAGAGGCACTTAGTAAATGGGAGCTGTCACTATGTTTTTGTGTGCTGCTGTTTACCTCCAGCTATGAAATTGAAGAAGAATTTCAAAAGTCTTATTTCATGCTCTTAAAGCCAAGATTTTAGATGTTCTTTGTATTATAAGTCTGATCCCACTGGGTCAAAGATTAGTAAGAAACTTATTATATAACTTCTATATATTTTCCAGTCTGAAGAAGGCAATTTAACTTATGGAAGTAGTTGACCTCAAAGGCTACCTATATTGTGCTTTTATGTCTCTTAACTGTATATTAATATGTTTATTATGCAAAGAAAAAAAACCCCACAAAAATTTGCCCCAACTATGTCTCACCAAGCTTAGAAGAGGGAAGAGACAATACAACCACTGCTCTTTGCTCTCGGCCAGTAATGTGCTGTAACGGGAGCCAGACACCCAACACAACTGCCTACAAGGCAGACACCCCGAGAAACAATTGGTCCAAACAGTTTGTTTTGGCCACAAATGACTGTGTTATGAATAAAACTGTTACAATTTATAATATCAGTGATACTAATATTCAAAAAGAGATACGGCTTAGAGAATGGGCAGTTGGATTCCACAGTGATAGTTCAATTCATCAGGTAGACAACTGTCCTAATCACTTGCTAAACATAATGCTGGGTTCTAAAGTCAAAGCTTTCCTAACGATTGTTCTTCTTACTCCTGCTTTAGGCCCTGAATTCAGATGCCACCCTGAGCCGGGTGTCTCCATAGGGATCCACTGTCTTTCCTCCGGCTGCCTTGGCAAAGTGCTTCAAGCAGAGCATTAAATCAGCTTCCCGAACTCCCAACATACCTGGCAGCCAGTTAAAAGTGTCTGCTAGCTCTGAGCAGTGTCCTGTCTCACAAATGCCCCATTTAGTCCACCTTATATATAGCAAGAATACAAGAGACTACAGAAAAACGTTAGATGGGTTTTACTTGGCTTCTTGCCATCAGAAGTAAACAGCTTTGTGTAGTTCAAAGCAGTTCTGGGTCTCATTTCCTCCTGAAAACTCCCCAGCCATTCACACCATGGGTCTGAGGAGGTCAATCCAAGCTGCAAAAGTGATAGGGAAGACAGGCTTTAAAAAAAAATAAAGAAACATCTGCCCTAAAAGTTTAAGTAACAAGTTTCCATCTTCATATGACTGTAGCTTGCTTATTTTCTATCTCTTTGCATTTGTCTCAAATGACAGGCTCTAAAGACAAAAACCACATGATGGCCAAAAAATGGGACCCTAAATATTAACAAGATAGAAGCAGGTGTGGTGGTGCGTGCCTGTAATCCCAGCACTTGGGAGACTGAAGCAGGAAGATCCTTGCAAGTCTGAGGCCAGCCTGTGCTACACACTAACTTCAAGGCCAGCCTAAAGTACACTGAGAGACCATGTCACACAAAAGAATTAATAAGATAGAAAATTAGGGTACATGGATTGTTTTTACAGCATATACAAGAAAAGGAAATGACGCTGGCAGACGTGGCCAATCATTCCGTACACACATGGGCCCTCTCCAGGCACTCGCCCACCTACCAGCCCATGCTAGTCCCCCAGCCTCTGCACAGAGCCAATACCCAAGTCTCCTCCTTAATCATTCTTTCCCTCGCCTCTGTCCTACCTGCTCCCCTCCCAGGTGTACCTACAGTACTCCTTCCTAGGTGCACTAACAACGATTCTGTCATTCTATGCCAGAGCAGGCACTGCTCATTTTAGTTATGACGATCATCTGGGATAAAAGGTCAGCGTTTTAAAGAGGAGGAAACTTCAGGCAGAGAGGATGATAATAATCACCACCAACGGTCAGGGAAGGTGTAGACAGCAGTAACAGAAGTTTGTCTTGAGTTATATAGGACCGGGAATGGCCGCGAACTGACAGAAGCAGTTCTTGATTGAATATTTGGTTTTTTGGTATCTCCCAAAATGCATAGTTTTCCCATTCAGTTCACCATTTAACCGTGTGTGTTGTTAATACAAGAGATTAGATTGATAACTCTGAGCTCTGGAAAATTAACGAAGGCTTCTATCTTCATATAGGGCTTTCTGAAGGCGGCCCGATTTCCTCAGGAGCCAGACTGCAAGATTGCTGGTTCTGCTAGGAGTATCACGTGTCAGTTTCTTCTCATATCCAAGTCGGCATGCAGGAGTTTTTTACATGGATTTGACTATTTTTGAGATTTGAGAATAGAAACATCACTATATGCCTAACCACAGCTTCTGAGCCCCTCCCTAAAACTTTGAAGTAAGCGCACTAAAAAGATTAAAGCACGGTAAGATGCGAGTTCCTTCCATCCGTCATTCAGTCAACCATTATCGCGCTACCGTGCAAGCCACTGCGCGGGGCTCCATGGGAGACGACAGGGTGAGGTCACAGAGGAGCCTCCAAGGGGCCGGTCTACACGACAAGCGCGGGTAAATGCCTACAGCACAAAGTGTAACACGCCATAAGAAAGGTACAGATAAAGCACTCTGGATTCAGAGGCAGAAGAGACCAACTTCAACTAAGGGACTCACTGACACGACTGTCACAGTGAGTGGCTCCAACACGAGGCTAACAATTTCACCACATAATAGCATTTCAATTTTTGTGACCTTCACCGGGGAACTAAATCTCTTGCGAATTTATAGCTACTCTACATTGTTAGTGTTCCTGTAGACAACATTCCCTAGTCACCTCTTCCATTCAAATGTGAAAATGTAAAGGAAAAACATGAGGATTTAACTCTTGAATTACAATGAAATTAGTGCAAGGACCCTGAAATACAAGCTTCATTCACTCAGCTAAGCCTCATGCCCTTTGTATCTGATGGTGATAATCCCATAGCAACTAGAAAATACACTTATCTTATTAACGAGACTGGAATTATTTTAATTAGGTATCTCCACATGCACCAACTGTTAGAAATCAGACTGTTTTGAAACAGTTGTTAATGACTTAACACGGCAAACGTTCTCCTCAATTTCAGGCTGAAATCTGTTTTAGAGACAGATGGGGAAGAGCCTGGCCCTGCTGTGTAGCAGAGGAGCAGCCTAGAGACGCATTTTCCACTGGGATCTAGCAAAACAATCTTACGGACATGCAGAAAGGCAACTATAAACTTTGGCAACATCTGCTACATTAAAAGTTTGAAACCTAGCACTAGTATCTCTCTAATTATGAGGGGAAATGCTTTATCACAGCATAGGTTCTGAAATTTCAATGTCTCATAATACTTAATAAGAACATCAGAAGCCCAACGTCCAGCCCTAATCTTTTGGTTTACCTGGGCGCCTCTGCATTCATCCTCCAACAGACCTACTCCTGGAACAAGAATCAAGACCACGTGGAGTTCCGCTCTATGCTTCACTTCCTTTTGGAAATGTCTTCAGTTTATCACTAATTCATGAAAATGCTGAAAACTTTGAAAGGACTGCTTAAAAATTTACAGAAATATTTAAGAGGCCCAGTGTGGACACTCTGAGGATGAACACGCCCTAGGAATTCCAGCCTGTGTTAAACGGATATTTGAGGTAGTAGAAGTGAGATGCAGATGTATTGAAAAGCGGCAACTGTAAGAGGAACAGATTTTGTTTCAGCAACTGGCTAAGTACTGTCCTTCTTGGTACTTTTTACTAGACCAGCTTCCACCTGTATCTGGAGAAGAAACATGTCCAAAAAGATGCCATATTAGTGGAAATTCATTCTAAATTATTTTCTGGTCTAAGTAGGATGGAAAAAAAATTGAGTTCTCTTCCAGTCCATAAAGTCTTGTCTAGACCTGAGATTAAGATAATTCTGCAGAAAGTAGGAAGGAAAGCAAATATAAGCATAGCAATACTACTTCTGCAGTTTATGATTTTCTGTATTTGGTATTTCTTCAAGGTGGTGATGAACAAAAGTCTTTTCCTTGCATGCTTCTCTGTCATGCCTAACTTCTTGGGCTCCAACTTTGGGGAAGATGGAAAAATGGCTCCTTGTACATCACACATAAACACAAACACAGGCAGTGCGTTATACATAGTTTTAGTATTTGGATAAGACAGCTTGTATTTTGATTCTTGGGGTAGATGGGACATAGTAATCCATTTAATTGCTTCACTGATTGAATTTTTCAGAGTGCTTAGGGGAAACAAAAAGATTTCAGTCGTTACAAGGCACAATGAAGCCTTCAATCTAAGCATTTTGACAGTGTTGTGTGTTTTCTAACTTGCACCCATAACGAATAGAAGGACTGAAGCACTCTGTTGACAAATTCTTACCTCCTGTTTTCTACTTCTCACTTCTAGTGGTGCTTAATGACCAAAGGACCATTCTGCTGGTCATAATGCTAAACATACAACTCAAGGAACTGCGCTGTATTTTACATTACCATTGTCCTCATGATGGAAAATGAAGTGAGTAGAGGAGAAGTTAAGGTTGCAGGGTGCCGACTAACTCTCAGAAAGACAAGAAGAGGTACAACTGCTCTGTTAATAGTAGTATTCAAGAAGAGATGTTTGTGAATAACTTAGTTACTTCCCTTATATTTTAATAAGCTCTCACCTTAGTTACAATGCAGAAAGAATTGCTATAAATTCAGCTATAATTCCTTTTTTATAACACATTTTATACAGTAAATTTAATTAATAAAATGCTAGGAAGTAGACTTTCTAAAAATTGCAAACAACTGATAAATATTAATAAAGGAAGTTTCTCACATCACTATTCTATGTGGCAAAGAAAACTTTCCAGATCATTCCACAAAGAATTGTTTCAGTCCCTCAAGAAGAACAAGGAAATTAGACCAAGTCTATTTCATACAGAAGGTTCCATGCTTCTCCAAATAATGTTCCTCTTCATAATATACATAACCAGCAAATACTTCGAGGACAAAGCCCTACTTTTATTTTACCAGTTCAGTCTTAAACTAAGGCTTCTTACATCTCCCATGCAATTACCTAGGCCCCTAAAACATATTGAAATGTAACCTGCAGTTATGATGAGCTCTTCAAGCAAATCCTCAGCTACCACTTCCAACTCTGAAAGGACAGGTGACCAGAGAAACAGATGTGAAACAGATGGTACAGTTACTAGAAGACACTGAAGACCCAGACAACAAAGTTTGCCTTATACAGTCTCTTCAGATCATGTTCTATCATTAAACTGTTGTTCTGACTTCCAGACGTGACATATGACTCTTAGCCTTGCTTCCTCTTCAACCTTGTAGTGTTACATAAAAATTCACCTTCAAAATGTGGAAGTCTCCACTCCACCTTTCTCCTGCTGTAAAAAGCTGGTGATAATCAGAAAAGGGAAAATAATAATTGTTAAATAATACAGTTCTAAACTTAAAATTAAGAAAGGGGTCACTCTCATAATCATGCCTATTGTATACAGAGCCTCATATCACTAAAGCACTAAAAAAAAAGTATGTCTTTCAGAATCAAAGAAATTCAGTGTTGAGATTATCGAATTAATCTCCTATCTGATCCTTAAATTGCACCACAAGCACATAATTGAGCACCTCCTGTGGCAGGAAACTTATTACTTCCAGAGGTAGGGTCTTAGCTCTTGAAAATAAAGCAAAGAAGCCAAAAGTGCCCTGTCATTTCTCCTAACTGGTAGAAAGAGTCATATGCCATAAAATTCACCCCTAGCACTGCCTTTCAGGACAATGCAGAACAAGGCTAAACCCTCTTCCATATGACAATACTTCACGTTCTTGAAGTTGTTACAGTCCAGTGGTGTTAAATCTGTGTCATGCACGCTGCTGGCTGTGTGTTACTGAAAGCTCCAACAGGTGCGCCATGACTGTTACAGACCTTCCTGGTACTAAACATCCATTTTCAAGTCACACGTATTGGCCAATGCATTGCAGCTATCCTAAACATATTCCTGTTCTTCTATCTTCGTCTTAAAGTTAATTATGTTTTAGTACAAACATGCCAAATAAATAATAAGTTATGGGACTCTAGTAAACATTTCATTGTAACAAGGGTCATAGTTAGAGTAGAGAAAACGGTAAATCATGAGCACAGACCTCAGTAACCAATGAACAGAAGACGTCTGGGAATCAGAAAAAGAAAAATGAGGTCATTCAAAAAGAGCAGTGAACAAGGTTAGGAGGAGTCCAAGAGAGACCAAGGCCCTATGAAATAATAAAATTAGTGCACAGTTACATATAGTCAGAAAATATTTGGGATACAACTATGAGGATTAAAATTTTATAGAAAGATAAAAATAGTAACTTAATGAACTAGCAAAAAAGTAACTAGTAACTATTACTATAATTATTCTTTATTTTTCAACTTTCCAGAAGAAAAATCTGTCTTTAATGAGGTAAATGTCAATGTAAAATGTTTTCATTAATAATTCTTACCTTGAATGAAATTTAGAAACAAAGATATAACAACTATTTCTAAAGTAGTAACTTGGGTATGCTACGGAAAAGACTTAATATTTATAGCTTTATATTCAATTTTATTTTTTTAAAGGGGATAGATTAAACTCTTATTTTACAGGTAATGTTTTAAATATTCTAATGTAAGTTCAGTAGGCATTAGCTTTTCATATATTCATTAATACTCTAGATAAAATTCTTAAAATAAATTTTATATAAAAGTATTACATTTTAATAACATGTTGTTACCATTAAAAATTTCTCTCAAGTACAGCTGCAGAGCCAATGACAGCACACACAAACCCCAGCCATTTAGAGACAGGAAGAGCAACCACACAACTGTTTAAATCCTATGGGAAGGCAATCCCATTCATAAACTAGCACGTGCTCTTATTTAGTGAGCTAAGCAAGTTCCTTCCAATAACTACTCCCAGAACATAATCTTGGAAACGAATTCTGATTCTGAATATCATTCTTATCTATTCTCAGAAACCCAAAAAGAAGTTTGCAAAGAAAGTTTTGCTCTTCAAAGGGATCATTAGAAAGCGATGCATATACAACACCATGTTCTGTATAACTACACCATAACTACAACTTTTCCAAAAGTGCCCAGGATTAAACGATGCTTGCAAGAAAGTTCTGGGTTCACAGAAACAGTTATACTATCAGTATGATGGTCTTCACTACAGATGATCCCTAGGGTTGTGAAGGCAGGGAAAATAATGCCTTAAAAAATAATAGCTCTAATCACTACATATCTAGCAATAGACAAGCAGAAACAAATGTGCTATCTAAATTACTCACAACATATGAGAAACAACCACAAAAAATTTTTGTTGCCTTTCTGAAATCTGACCAACACAATCATAACACAGAGGTTCCAGGATCCTTCTCTCCAAAAGTTCTAGACCTTGCTGAAATTTCTAAAATAAAAATATTACATTAGTTTAAAAAATAATCAACTATTTCAAAGACTTACCCTCAAATTAATAATAATAAAAATAATAATAATGGCACAAGAAATTATGAATAATAAAGCAAAGAACAGTAAGGCAAGTTATAATAGAAAACAATAAGTACAGGCAGGCTGACAGGTCACTGAGCCTTCCACTGTTCTAGTTGGAAAGAGGAGTTGGGACTTCATAAGTTCCCCAAATAAAAAACACCCAACTACTAATCGCAGCTACCAGGGTGGCAGGAGGGTCATCAATTTGGGGGCACCTCAGGAAACCCATAGCAAGACTCCGTCTCAAACAAACAAACACATAAGGAACCATAAAGTTGCCTTCAGACATTTGAAGACCTATTTCATAGAATATGAATGAAGGCCAGCTGTGCCAGAAATTAGACTCGACATCTTTCCCCATCCTCGGTCATCCCTTAACTAGAACTGCTGCAAACCGCCTCTGATAACACGCCTTCCTGCCCCCACACCACTGTACTCCTCTGTAGTTATCCTCCACCTTGCAGAGACAGACAGAGAGAAGATCATGGTGGTCTGTTGTTTGGAAAATGTCTGTTGAATGTTCACAGACTCCTAAAACCCAAAACTCCTTGGCTTGGCAATCTCGCCTTCCAACTTTGCCTCCCTTTAGCTTTCCACCAAATGCATTACGATCCTGCCGCAGTGATCACCTCTTGATACCAAGTATGCCAGATATTTTACGTTTCTAAACTAGACGTGTCCTTACGCCACCCTTCTTGCAGCTGACAAAATCTTTTTCCTCCTTTAGTGTCAAGTCTATTCTCAAGGTTTACTACTCTAGTGCTCATCTGTAAATTTCACAGTCTAGAAGGTAGTGCTTTTCTATAATTTTTTTTCTTTTGTATTTAGGTACGACGGTGATGCTTGGTGACATCACAGGCAGGAAATGCGGTGAGTGGGCTGCAAATAGACAGGAAAGCACAACAGAGTGGTAAGTAAGCTTCCCTTAAAAGTGCTGGATCTACACCACTGGGTGAAAGCCTTGTAAACGCCAACCACACTTGCTACGTGACTTGTGCTTTATGCCTAGCAGCACATTTGGAAGGGTTCGATAAAGACCGCAGGCACCCACGGGCTTCACTGCATCTTTCAGATCATTTCTAGTCACCTGATACATTATGAAACCGCAATGTGAACTGAGTTTTATTTTCATGAAATACTGAGCAATACAAGCTTAAATGCTGTAATAAACTCTGGTACTTACACCTGTTCTAGAAGTAGCCTGGAAGGCAGCCACAGAGGTTAAGGGGAATCAATTTTGTTGCAAGAGCAATGCCTTACATTTTGTTGCAGGAGCAACGCCTTACATCTCAGACAACCTGTCAAAATTACTTAGAAGCCTACAGAGGTCAATCTATATTTTCAGAAAGTTTTAATTAAGGTTGGGAGTTCAAAGAAAAAATGAGTAATCGCTCCCTCCACCGCTGCCTTTCTTATCATTAACGATAATACTGCGAAATAAGGATCACTTCTTTTGGGAAGTTCAGAAGCAAAGTACGACAGTGAAATGACATTACGCCCAAAAGAGAGGCAGAAAGAGTGTTACTTGGAACTTTTCAGGGAATATAAACAACGAGAAGAAAAAACGATTAATTACTAATTCAATTCTCTAATTCACTATGAAATCTAGACATATATCAAAGCTTAGAGGAGCTAAAACAGTCTTCCTATTTTCACCTGTTTCTGTCAATCATTAATATGTCACAGTATTATCAAATTTTGTGTGCAGCACACTGAAAAGAAGCCCTTGATTTCTCTTCCAAGTAAAATGAATACGCATGAGAAAAAAACCGTCCTTCTGGCTTGATCTCTCCTTTGGTTGGAATTCACACCAGGAAATGACCTTTCAGAAGCAAACACCCTGCACAGATGCGGCACAGCTCCCTGGAGAGTGCCTGTAAATCTGACATTGATCAGACTACAACTGGGAGTGCTGCAGGAAGGAATATTTGAAACATCTGGGATGCTAACTGCAATTTCCTAAAATAATGTAAGGTGAAGGGGAGGGTGGGAGAGCCCGACATGTTACGTTCCAGGGAGATGGTCCTTCTCAGACAGATACAACTCAGGATTGAGAAGTTCTTACTTAAAAACTGCAGCAGTTGGCCTATGGTGGGAAAAGCATTCTAAATGGAAACAAGCTACGCATAGGCACATGCTCCATAGATGAATGGGCAACATATTATACAGCAGGATAAAGCAACAGAAACAAATTGTCTCAAATATCAAGCCTGTCTACCTGGTGTTTATATTAGTGCGAGAAGAGAGGAAAGGACTGAAGGGGGACAGACAGCACAGGAGTGCGAGCAGCCCCTGAAGGTGGAAAAGTGATTAGGCCATGATCTGTGAACCAAAAATGGAACAAAATTATAACCGTCCAATAAATTCACAGTCTACAGTTCAATTTTTAATTTTATGTAGAAACAAGAAATATCTGCCTTTGAGCTAAATGGAGTAATAAGCAATAATCAGGACAATATTTACAACTTTTAAAAAACATGCAACCAGCTTGGACAGACCTGATCAATTTATTTTTAATATTTTAATCACATAATTTGTTGAGCTACGGCAAAATGGCAAAACCAATAACCTGAAACTGTGATCCAGTAAAATATCTGAGACAAGGGCTCAGAGTCTAATTCACAACCTTAATTAAAACTGGCCTAATATGAGCATCACCAGATGGATTAAAAAGTGACTCTGAGATCATATCGAAAAAGGATCAAGGAGAACCGGGGATTTAGCTCAGTGGTACTGCCACCTGTCTCACAAGCGCAAGGTCCCAAGTTCAATCCCCAGGACAACCCCCACCAAAAGAAAAGGAAAAAAACAGGATGGAGGGAAATATGTTAAATGAGAGGAGGGTCTGCATCCAGTGGCAGAGTTAGTATTGAGTCTGAGCTTAATTAACACAATCCTTGAAGGACAGAAAAAAATAGGAGTAAGATAATATAAGGTAAAGTATATTCGCTTGAGACAAATAAAATAAATTTTAAATACTGAAACAGTTATAGAAAACTGCAGCCTAAACCTTAGAGGCAGCTAGGTAAGAAATTACAATTTTCTTAGAAAAAATAACTTAGGAAAAAATATTTCATTTTAAAAAATTAGAATGAAACATTTTCAATGTGATTCTAGAATTATGGGAAAATCACACTTAGAAATTAATAAAAAACTTAAATACAGATTTCTTTATAATACACTATAGGCACAATAGGTAAATAGGATTTCAAACTCCCTTTTAGGGATATGATAATAATTAATGTATTGCTTTACAGTTTCCCAAATGATTTCATATTATTTTCCCTTGAGGTCTTCAAAACAGACCAGGTTCCTCTGCTAATTTAAGACGGATACAGTTCTTAAGAGATACGTAATGTGCCCTTGATTACACAGGTAAAACACAGAAAAACTATGTCCAGCAGACATAAATTTGCTAACTTCTACTCCATGAAAGAAAGGGATCACATCATTGGGAGGAAAAAAAAATCTTAAGCTAGTACAGTTGTGAACTTTCTTTTAGTGCTTTATCCAACATTTCAACTTCTCAAACTGGGAAAAATCCAAATAATAATGCAAGTTTTTAAAAGGGCCAAATTAATTTCATAAAACTGTTTACTTAAAACCACTAAACACATATATTTTTCACCTTTTGCACTTTTCAACAGAAAAAAATTAAAGAATGTATTAACTACAAAAGGCATAGAATTTTTGGAAAAGTCCTTCACTCAGGAGGACGTAAAAGCTTTCTTTTAAAGAAGAGCTAACATTTCAACATTACTATTTGAATTTTTCCTAAACATGTTCCTATCTATGAAATAATAGTGTATAAAAATTGCCTGATTTTTCTTTTTGAAAGTTCACAGAACTCTAAAAATCATGGGGGAGAAATCAATCTCATAGTCACAAAAAGTATTCTTAATAGTATTATTTTCCCATCTCTACTTCTAACAACTTTGGAATATTAGTGTTCAATATTCAATTGATTGATCTTTTTCCCTTTATCCTTTGAAAAGTTTTATCTCATCTGAATAATTTATTAACTGGGAGATTATTAAAAGACACTAACATACCCAGCCACAATTTCCTACAGAATCCTAGCCTTAGCAGGACCCTCTGTGCACGGGTCTGAAATGATGGAAATGGACGACTGTGTGGTTATTACATACAGGAGACAACCTTCCTCATTCACTCCCGAAGAACTTTTGTTTGGAGACATAGCAAAGGCAGATTTGCTCAGAAGTAAAATGTTACTTCTTCTTGTTGTTACTATGCTTCTAGAAATAGCCTTTTCTTACGTCCACCAGTCTTATTTCAATACATCAGGACATTAGAGTGAACCAACAACATGACTTAGCTCAGTTTCATAATTCTAAGATTTTAGATTACTCCTAGAATCTTCACACGATACTGAAACAAACGGTGTGACAAGATAGTAACGTTGCTCTGCAAAGAGAGCTGGGAACATTTAAAGCAGACAAGAAAACTGCAGTGAAAGGGAAGATTTAACACTCCTATGATAAAAACTTCATTATATTCAATCTACCAACAAATGTTCACTGAGTACATCCTCTTTATATAAAGAACACATTCATTAAAAAATGGTACATCCATAGTATAGCTTTAATATTAATAATTCCATAAAAGGAGTATCTTTTAACATAGTTATTTTCCCCAAATTTGAACAAAGCTCAGAAACACAGGTATGCTTGCCCAATTCCAATGAGAAGTAGCTTGTGCCAATGTGGACATTAGGAAAAATAAAGAAATTGTGTATTCTACATCGGATAGACATTTTTTAAAAGCAGACAACATATGGCTGACGTAGATGACTCAGGAATTTACAAGACTTAGATTCTAGCTACCTACCAAATGTTATGGTAGACATGTTCACATACTTTTATTACCACGGCATATGCACATACATTTTCATTACATTAGTAAGTTCCAATACTCCAAGTCAAGATTCCTGACAGAAAAATGGCACAACACTTGATTATGAATCAAGTTGGCGTGAGCTTCCGCCCCTGAATCAAAGGGCAAGAATGACTGTGGCTTGTAATAACATTGGCTACTACACCTTGCCCTGAACAGTACTACTCTACAGTTTCTCTAAAATACAATGAACTTCTTAACAATACTCCCAACACACAAAAATATAGGTCTTCTACCTTTTGTCTGGCTGTAACTAAAAAATCCAGTTTTAAATAGCACACAAGTATAATCTACAGTCGAGGCAATCTCTCAAGATTTGAGCAAAGAATTAAGAGGGAAAATCTTGAGAAGACAGTAATTGGGCCATAGGAGTTTCTTCTCACTAATTATCCCAGAGTGACCATTAGCTATGTAACCAAGGAGGAAAGTGTGTCAGACTTCAGGGAAGCTGTGTCTTCAGCATCTTATGGAATGCACCCTAAAGCCACTGTGTAATTAACTGCCAGGAAAATGCTGAGCGAGTAGAATAAAGAAGCTATAACAAATCAAATATACTGCACAGTTCAACCCCCAATGACAGCAGTTGGACTGCTTAGAACTTCAAAATACTCATCAGCATACCTACCCTTTCTGGAATCTCTGGAAAAAAAAGATTTTTTTAAGACTACTGAAAAGGCAAAAATACAGGTGACAAAAGAGGCAAATTACAGAAATCCTCAGCAATATATTTTGTTTCATCTAGCTGTCCATAACAGTAGAGGAACTTACTTACTAGTGATGTTCAAAGTGTGAGTCACAAAGAAGCTGCAGGGCTTTTTAAAAATGTAAACATCATATATTCAAGTCAAACATAGGACAGATAAGAGAGAGAAAGAGGGAGGAAAAGGGAGAGAAAAAGAGGGAGACAGGGAGAGAGAGGAAGGGAGGTGGGGGAGAGACAGTGTGTGAGAGAGACACAATACAACCTTAAAACTTTTTAGTATCTTCTTATCTATT